TAACTTCTATCAAACACTCTGTTATCTACCACATCTGTTTGTAACTTCTATAAAACACTGTTATCTACCACATCTGTTTGTAACTTCTATAAAACACTGTTATCTACCACATCTGTTTGTAACTTCTATAAAACTGTGTCTGTCTGTTATCTACCACATCTGTTTGTAACTTCTATAAAACACTGTTATCTACCACATCTGTTTGTAACTTCTATAAAACTGTGTCTGTCTGTTATTTACCACATCTGTTTGTAACTTCTATCAAACACTCTGTTATCTACCACATCTGTTTGTAACTTCTATAAAACACTGTTATCTACCACATCTGTTTGTAACTTCTATAAAACACTGTTATCTACCACATTGTTTTATAGAAGTTACAAACAGGAACTGAACTGTAGTATTAAATAATGTACACTACATTGTAGAGTTCTGTATTGAACACGTGTTTAATTTATGTTGAATATCTTTACAGATTTGTGTGTTGAACACAGGTGTTTAATAACGAGAACTGAACTGTAGTATTAAATAATGTACACTACATTGTAGAGTTCTGTATTGAACACGTGTTTAATTTATGTTGAATATCTTTACAGATTTGTGTGTTGAACACAGGTGTTTAATTTATGTTGAATATCTTTACAGATTTGTGTGTTGAACACAGGTGTTTAATTTATGTTGAATATCTTTAAGTGTGTAAGAGATGCTCAAGTTTTATAGAAGTTACAAACAGATGTGGTAGATAACAGTATGTTCTTCTATCATATGTTAGAGTCGAGTTGCCTACTGTCATGTTCTTCTATCATATGTTAGAGTCGAGTTGCCTACTGTCATGTTCTTCTATCATATGTTAGAGTCGAGTTGTCTACTGTTGCAATGATAATGAATATTTTACTACAGAGAGAGGTTGCGCATGTTTATTGTTTTGTGTGTACACCAGATTAGCAAAGAAAGCCTTAAGAAACTTAATGAAATAGTTCACATGTGCTTGTGTTGAATAGGACAGGTTGTATCACATTGAATTTAGTTTAAAACTAGCATATGGTTATAATAAACTGGGGATATAATAGTTTGTGCTTGGGATATGAGTTCGTTACACTTGCTGAAAGTTCCAGGCTCTTGTTTCTGACTTGCTGATTTAGCAGTTTATCAGACTGAATACTTACCAACGTTTTATTCGTGAGCTGCTGACTAATTAGCCTACCAGACTGGATAATTATCAGGGTCTTGTCTCTGAGCTCTTGACTAATTAGCCTACCAGACTGGATAATTATCAGGGTCTTGTCTATAAGCTGCTGACTAATTAGCCTACCAGACTGGATGATTATCAGGGTCTTCTTTCTGAGCTCTTGACTAATTAGCCTACCAGACTGGATAATTATCAGGGTCTTCTTTCTGAGTTGCTGACTAATTAGCCTACCAGATTGGATAATTATCAGGGTCTTGTTTCTGAGCTCCTGACTAATTAGCCTACCAGACTGGATAATTATCAGGGTCTTGTCTCTGAGTTGCTGACTAATTAGCCTACCAGACTGGATAATTATCAGGGTCTTCTTTCTGAGCTCCTGACTAATTAGCCACCAGACTGGATAATTATCAGGGTGTTGTTTCTGAGCTCCTGACTAATTAGCCTACCAGACTGGATAATTATCAGGGTCTTGTCTCTGAGCTGCTGCCTAATTAGCCTACCAGACTGGATAATTATCAGGGTCTTGTCTCTGAGCTGCTGACTAATTAGCCTACCAGACTGGATAATTATCAGGGTCTTGTCTCTGAGCTGCTGACTAATTAGCCTACCAGACTGGATGATTATCAGGGTCTTCTTTCTGAGCTGCTTACTAAGCAGCTTATCAAACTAAATACTTATCAATGTCCTGTTCTTGGTATTTAACAAATGTAGAAGGTAACTCAGTGCCTGGTACAACTTGTGTTTACCTTGACCCACTTCTCCTGCCTACAGATAATAAAACTTTCGAGAGGATCTTTGGCTAGTAACCAGAACGAGGATGATGTACGGAATTTCCACAAAATCTTCATTATCCGTCATGAAATTGAAGTGAAAAAAGTTAACACACTGGTTTTTTATAGTTAATAACATTATTGGCAAATGTGCATCATTTTGGGGTTAGGAAATGTTTTACAATGTTAACATAATATGGTTTTGATGGAAATGGGTTATTATAGAAATACAATATGTTCTTCACTCATCCAGTCACACGTTTAACTCCATAACGTGTCTTAAAACGATAATCAAGTTTAGTGTGAAATATATTCTCTCACACACTTCAAGCTTAGCGTGAAATATGGTTCATACGTAACCCAAGCTTAGCGTGAAATATGGTTCATATGTAACCCAAACTTAGCGTGAAATATGGTTCATACGTAACCCAAGCTTAGTGTGAAATATGGTTCATACGTAACCCAAACTTAGCGTGAAATATGGTTCATACGTAACCCAAGCTTAGCGTGAAATATGATTCATACGTAACCCAAGCTTAGTGTGAAATATGATTCATACGTAACCCAAGCTTAGCGTGAAATATGATTCATACGTAACCCAAGCTTAGCATGAAATATAATTCATACATAACCCAAGCTTAGTGTGAAATATAATTCATACATAACCTATGCTTGCTGAAGTATCTAAGCTGTTCTCAGCAAGTTCATGAACATGCTGAAGTATCTAAGCTGTTCTCAGCAAGTTCATGAACTCAACCTTTAGTTAGAAGATTGCAAGCTTGAACTGAAATATTCCAAACTATGTCTGAGTGCTTTGTTGAATTATAGTTTCTCAGCAACGAGTTGTTTCCTGAATAGAGTCAACGATGTACTTACGTCACTGTTTGCTGAGCACCACTAGTTTAGGTGGAACTCGCATGAAAAATGTCCGAAAGGGAATATTTTTCGATTTAAAAGGGGTTAATTAAAAGTTAACAACTGTCTGTCTTATCTATCTCATATATATCAGCGTAAAAAATAAGAAAAAAATGTATTTTGTGTTAGTTATTTTTATTTTGTATACACGTACGTAGGGTTGGATCGCATGTTGAACATCCATCGTATATTAGGCCTAACATTCTTTTCTTTTTTTTGTGACAGAAAAATTATGCCCAGGAGGAGGCAGGACGGGTGGTTCTCTACACCACAACTATGGGGATCATCAGAAAAACATTTGAGGAGTGTCGGCGTGTCCGGAACATTCTCCAGACCATGCTAGTAAAGTTCGAAGAGCGGGACGTCTTCATGAATCGGACACATCAGAGAGAACTTTTGGAACGGTTAGGAGCCAGTTCAGTGCAGGTCCCGCAGATTTTTGTGGGAGGAAGTTGGTTTGCGGTAAATATTTTTTTTTCTTATGATATTAATTTCAGGCTAATTTCAAAGCATGTTGCTAAAGGTCCAACAGCTTTAGCCCCACCCGAAATACTAGAGGTTTTTACTTCTATATTACCATTATGTCATCAGGATGTACACCTGAGCATCCAGCTCAATCCTTTCATGACCGTCTGGGTCCTCATTACTATTCTATGATCGGAGTGTACAATCCTTTAACTGACAATAAACTTCACAGACAATTGGACAGCCTTAAATTTAGTATATTGTCTAAAACTGAAAGAAAATTGGAAAGTGTCTTGATCGATAACCGCCAACAAACTGTTATAAATAAATATATCTTTCTTCGGTTGTTGAAATTAACTTATTCAAAATTATTTTCAGTAGTGATCAACACTACAGTTAAAAACAAAGGTTCTTGTTAGTGTTGGTCAACAATAAACTGTTAAAAACAAAGGTTTTTGTTAGTGTTGGTCAACAATAAACTGTTAAAATTAAAGGTTCTGTTAGTGTTGGTCAACAATAAACTGTTAAAAACAAAGGTTTTTGTTAGTGTTGGTCAACACTACACTGTTAAAAATGTAGGGTATTGTTAGTGGCAATAAACAATAGACTGTTAAAATACACATTATTTGGCAGTATTTGGCAAAAACTTATTAATTGGGTAATCTTAACTGGTGGTCAACATTGAACTGTAGTCAATAAACTGTTTAGACTGGCAAAAATCAGTAAGGTAATTTCAGCAATGACTGGCACTAAGCTGTTTAGACCGGCAGAAATCTGTAAAGTGACTGACACTAGACTGTTTAGACCGGCAGAAATCAGTAAAGTGAGTGATACTAGACTGTTTAGACTGGCAGAAATCAGTAAAGTGACTGACACTAGACTGTTTAGACTGGCAGAAATCAGTAAAGTGACAGACACTAAACTGTTTAGACCGGCAGAAATCAGTAAAGTGTCTTCAGCAATGACTGACACTAAACTGTTTAGACTGACAGAAATCAGTAAAGTGTCTTCAGCAATGACTGACACTAGCTTCTCCTCCCGTTTGGTGAAATACTAGCAGCACTCAGATTTGGAGATTAGAATGAAGTCAGATTTTGATCCTACTATTTTCCTGGCCCGACGTTCATCAGGTTTCGACGGGTGATCCCCCTAACGACCGGTTAGTCACCTTCCACTTTGAGACTGTGGCGCCATCAAGCACGTTAGGGACCGGTTTTTTTGAACAGCAGAATCAACTAATAGTGTGTTCTACTAACAAGATCTGTGTACAGTTCACTAACCTACTTTAAAAATCATGAAATATTTGTAATAAACATCACGTCAGTAGCGTAATCCCGCAGCGCATCTATGGACGTTGCATGGCTACAGGAACGTAATAAACGCCAAAAAAAACGTGTTTAAATTTACTTGGCTTCTGAACTATTTCTTTTGTTTACCTCTAACATGCTTCTTGTTAGGTTTATCACACTGCCTTTTTTATTCCTGTAACAGTTTTCGGATCAATAGAAAAAAAGAAAACAAAACAACAACAGTATATGTTCATCACATTGTCTTGTTCTACCTGTGGCGGGGACAGTTTTAGGATGATTATGAAAGAAACACATGTTCACCACATTGTTTTGTTCTACCTGTGGCGGGGACAGTTTTAGGATGATTATGAAAGAAACACATGTTCATCACATTGTCTTGTTTTACCTGTGGCGGGGACAGTTTTAGGATTATTATGAAAGAAACACATGTTCACCACATTGTTTTGTTCTACCTGTGGCGGGGACAGTTTTATGATTATTATGAAGAAAAGCTTACTTGTATTATCTTCCGATCTGAGCAGCTACCTACACGGAACAGACAAAAAAAAATCCACATAGATAACGTTTCTTACTTATAATACATTGTTTCATCAGGTAGGCAACATTACTGTTTAAAGATATTTTCGGCTAAGCCTTTTGAACGATACAGTCAGTATCCACTAGACACGTGCTGCTAAACGTGAAATTGATTGAACGAATCACACAAAGGAATCCGTAAAGCTGACAATTGTTTCATTTTTAGTGTTTGGTTTTATTGAATTACTTTCGAAATATTTCGTTATTCTTTAATTTCGTTTAATATATTCGATTTCTCATTAACAGTCGGTAAATATCGTATCTTAGATATAATTTGTCTTCTTTGTTCTTACGCTTGTAATTACTCGTACACGTGCGGTAAACGTGGACTTGGCAACAGAGCTTGACTAATGAACAGCACGTAATATGGGTCACAAGCAAATAAGCTGTTAACTTCCTGTGGCCTTTAACAAGGTCTACCCGGTCGTTCCACAACCGGAGGCTCCAGGTTATAGGTAGACCAACTCTGCTAATCATACTGTTTCTATTAACACAGTGGTGGGTGCAATGTGTCGTTAAATGTCATTAGTGACATTTTTTTTTGGGGGGGGGGGGCTCATCAACATCGTCTTATGTTAATTACCAACAATTAATGGTAGAATTTCACATTCTGAACACGGCTGTTTCATTACGAAATTGTGTTGTCAAGTTTCGTGTGTTAATACCGGTGTTTAAATGGTAGTTTTTACATTGAACAGTGTTTAATTACGAGAATCACATAACAGATTTGTGTGTTGAACACAGGTGTTTAATAACGACGAGTTGCCTACTGTCATTGTTCTGTCGTATGTTAGAGTCGAGTTGCCTACTGTCATACTCTAAAATATGACAGAACATGAATGTAGGTAACTCGACTCTAACACATGATAGAAGAACATGACAGTAGGCAACTCGACTTTAACACACGACAGAACAATGTGACAGCAGGCAACTCGACTTTAACATACGACAGAACAATGTGACAGCAGGCAACTCGACTTTAACATACGACAGAACAATGTGACAGTTGGCAACTCGACTCTAACATACGACAGAACTATGTGACAGTAGGCAACTCGACTTTAACATACGACAGAACAATGTGACAGTTGGCAACTCGACTCTAACATACGACAGAACAATGTGACAGTAGGCAACTCGACTCTAACATACGACAGAACAATGTGACAGTTGGCAACTCGACTCTAACATACGACAGA